AGGCGGCTCTCTTCCTTCTCCTCCCCTCCCCCCGCACCTGGATGAACCTCAATGGTGCTCGCTGGTCCAGCGCGCAGAGGTGGCCACCGCACCTCCGAACGCACCCCTCGGAACACGCGGGCGCTAGGATGTGGCCCGGCTGGGGGACGGAGACACCCACGTGCCCATACAGGCATCATTGTGCGGGCGCGCGCATGCACACAGAGGCTCAGACACATACATGCATGCATGTGCTCTTGGAGGCTGGCACATGAACTCACTCGGCCGAACGTGTACACACGCTCACAGAAGCATACACACACACACACACACACACACGCGCGCGCGCACATACATGTTTGGCCACAGGCAATCAATGGCCAAGTACACACAGACACTGCCCCTGGCTCACCCTCCAAAACAGGGTCACCTATATGCATACAAACAATGCACCCAGAGCCTCAAAGGCCCTCAAGAGTAAGACAGCACTCACAGTCTCCTCCCACCTCCCCAAAAGGGTGCCCCCGACCTCCTGCACACCCTGGGACTCCAGTCCCCCTCTCCACTCGCCCTGCCCCGCCCCCAGCCTCAGCCCCTCCCTCCACCAGAGTTTCCAGGGCAGCTGTCCACTGAGTGTCGGGCCTGGGACAGACTCCTCCTGGCCACTATGTCCAGCTGAGGCATCACTTCTCCCTCCAGGTGCCCCTCCGCTGGGCTCCACCCCCAGACTCTGGGGATCTCGGGAAGCACTTGTCTTAGCCCAAGAGGTAAGTGCCCCTTCCCTTCATCTGGGTCCACCTCCACACCCACAGCAACCTGGTCCGCCCAAGGTGCTCTGCTAGGGTGGGGCCGGGGGAGAGGAAGGAGGTGGACAGAACTAGAAGGGAGTGAAAGAAATAGCGTAGTGGAGTGAGAAGTGGGGACAGGGCAAAAGGAAGGGGGTGATGTGAGAAGGGGAGGAAGAACCAGGGAGAGAGGGCTGACTCCTGCTTATTGATTCTGAATTCTGTTTCGGAGCAAAACCACCACCAGTAGCCCCACGCTGGCATGCTGTGCCCGGCTCCCAGACGCTGTCAGGCCCGGGCCGGCTTCCCGTAGCTCCTGCCACACCCCACCTTGCTAGATGCCAGGCCCCTCTGACCCTGGCCGACAGGAGTGGAGAGAGGGGTCCTCAGAGGTACCAGGAGGAGGACCCCAGGTGGTGCATGGCCCCAGGAGGGAGGAGAGACACATGCGGGCTGGACACCCCCTCCCCCCCAGCCTTGTCCCGCTGCCCTCTCCATCCCATCCCTGTGCCCCTGGCTCTGAAATACAGACTGACAGCTCACAGCTCGGAGCAGGCAGCGGTTTACGGCCCCAGAGGGAGGAGGGAGGAGCTGGTAGCCAGAGGAGAGGAAGGGAAACCGCCTGGAGGCCAATCAATACCAGTGAGTGGGAAGTGACGAGAGCGGTGAGATAAAAGCTGAGCCCAGCCTGGCCGGCATGGCTCAGTGATTGAGCATCGACCTATGAACCAGGAGGTCATAGCAAAAATGAAGGAAGGGAGGGACGGAGGTGTGCAGAGATCAATAGAGGCTGCAGAGAGGAACCGAGCAAATGGAGAGATGAGAAAGGGCCGGGATGGTGAAGAGCCAAGGGCCGGGGAGACAGAGCAGCAGGCCGGCCCCGGGAGCGCCGTGGTCCTGACCCCCAGCCCTGCGCTTCCGCTGCAGGCCCCCCTTCTTTTAGCTCCCTTCCTTTCTCATTTCATGTTCTCCTTTCCCTTCTCCCTCCACGCTCCCGTTCCCAGGGAAGAGATGGGTTCTCTCCCTTGGCTCTCTCTCTCCTGCCTCCCAGAGCAGATTCCTGAGCCTTGAAGGAACCCAATCCCTTCACCACGCCCACCTGGTTCAGTCCCATGTCACAGATGGAGAAGCCGAGGCCGTAAGAGAAGGAACACTGTCCTGCAGGTTGCACCTCTTCCATCCCCATCTCATCCCCCAGACAGCTCCACCCCCGGCCATCCCCACCCCCTCCCTCTCTGTGGATGCAGGGCCCTTTGGTGCCCAGGGGTGCCCCCAGGACCTTCCCACTCGGGGGTGGGACAACGGAACGGGCCTCGGCCAGTTTCCTGCTTGACCTTGTGCCTCCCAGGGCCCCGGGAAGACCAGCCCCAGAGGGACAGCATGAACAGGACATGGGGCCAAGCGTGGAGGTCGGGAGGAGGCACAACCCCGGAGGAGAGGGGCATAGTCCCTGACGACCAGGTTCCTGCCCTGTCGCCCTGTCCTTCAGGGGAGATCTCAGAGGTGCCAGGGCCGGCGTGACCCCTGTCGCCCTGTCCTTCAGGGGAGATCTCAGAGGTGCCCGAGGGCCCGCGGATGGAGGCTTCCAGGTCGCACCCACCTTGTCTTTATCTCCACGCTCTGCCGCCAGACTGCAGACCAGTGTCGCTGTAGGGGACACTCCCCCAGCCCCAACTCTCCCTGCCTCCCATGCCAGGAGAAGTCCCACCTCTTTGCCCACCTCAGCATGACCCCCTGCACCCCACCCATCTCTACGCCCCCTTCCAGAAGGCTCCACCCTATGGGAGGACAGTAGTGACAATGGGCAGTGTGCTTCCTCATCCTGACCCCCTGCACCCCGCCAGCAAGGCCGCCAGGGACTAGATGAGGGCAGTGCGCGGGAGTCAGGAGCCTCGGCAAGGAGCTGCCTGGCTGAGGTCTCGGTTTCCTCCTCAGTTCAGGAGACGGTCAGCCCCTATCCCTGCTGCCTTCTCTGAGAAACAAGTTATGAGGACTTTGCAGGCTCCAAAACACTAACCAGTCAGGGGGGCTCTTACTATCGGCAGCAACGTGCCGCGTCTTCAGAGCTGAGCGCAGCTGAATGAGCTGCAAGGAAGGGGCCGGCCCAGCTCCATGTGTACTCCAGCAGCCAGGGCTGCAGTGCCCAGCTGGCCATGGCCCGGGGGCTTTGCACAGAACGGCCGGTCAGATGAGGAAAATCCTGGGGGACGGGGCAGGGATGTGGAGGTGCCCAAGGGCGGCCCTGCCTGAGAGCGCCAGGAAGTGCCAAGGAAGGGAGAACCATGACCCACCCCGGATCCCATCCCCGCACCGTCCATTCCACAGCAAGCACAGGCCTCCGCCCTAATGTCCAAGGCGCCGCGGGGGACACAGAAGCAAAGGCACCGACCCCAGGTCTACTGTGAACTTCCTCCGGGTCCACTCACCCTCCGGGCCTCGGGTTTCATGCTGGTAAAGTGGAGGGAGAAGCCGCGCGCGCGCGTGTGTGTGTGTGTGTGTGTGTGTGTGTGTGTGTGTGTGTGTGTGTGTGTGTTTCCCCATGAAGCTCGGTGCTCACACCCCTGGTCTCTCAGCAGGGCCGCCCCGTCCGCTCCCCATCATCAGAGGGAAACTCCAAAAACCCCCTCAAGGTGGCGGCTGCCCCACGCCTTCCTGCCCCAGCTGTCCTCCTCTGCCACCAGCTGCTGGCCACCAACCACTAGGGACTGCAAACTGCTGCTGACGCTGCCCTGGAGGGGGCGGGTCAAACAAGGTGCAACCAGGGGCAGAGGAGCAGGCAAGGGCACTAGGGGGTGTCCTTGTGGCTCCAAGAGACAGCCTGCGCTGGGGTTCTGGGTGGGAAAGAGAAGGGCTCGGCCGACGACCGGGGAAGCCAGCTGTCCAGCCGCCTGGCCTCCGGGGAGCCTCCTGAGCCTGCCTGCGGGTCCTGGACCCTCTGGAGGAGATAACAGGCTTCCACAGTGTAACTCTGGGGGCACCGAGGGAAGGGGGTGCAGGCTGACCAGCCCCCGCTCCTTGCAATAGTGTGGATGTGGGAGCTGCACATGCAACACGTGAGCCCATGGCCAAAATCGCATGGGGGAGCAGCAGAGGCTGACACCTTTGGTCATGGTGAAGGGAGCCATGTCCGGCCAGCTCAGAACAGAGAAGAGAGTCCAGCTAGCAATGGGCCGCCCTGGGAAGTCAGGCAGCCACAGACCCGCTCAGGCCGGAGAGAGAAGGCTGCGGGGCAGTCGCCAGCAGCTCCCTGGCTCTCGTGACAAGAAGGGGTGAGAAGGAAGCGAGCATCGAAGCTCAGAGAGCCCCCCCAGCAGCCCCCAGGCCGGGATCTGCCCCCAGGGACCCCCGCCGGCACTCACGGTCATTGCACACGGGGCCCCCGTAGGAAGTCATGGTGCAGTCACAGGTGAAGCCATCCCACTGCTGCAAGCAGACGCCCTGGTTGGCACAAGACTCTTCGGTGCAGGTGGTGCTGGGGCCTGGGAGAAGCAGGAGGAACACACCCGCTCAGCCCCGCCCCGCCCTGCCCGGGAGGCACAGCAGCCTCAGGGCCCCGCAGGGTCCGGCTCTCAGTCTTCCAGGCTGAAGGGGCCAGTAGTGACGAGGGGTGGGCGTGGGAACGGGGGGCTCAAGGACTGCCAGGCTTGGCCTTGAACTGTGATAAGGGGCCAGGGTGGGAGGCAACAGGGAGAGCAAGTGCCCCTTCAGCCCGGGTACTCCTGCTCCACAGCTGGGGGCAGGCTCGTGCAAGGCCTGAGAAGGAAGGCCGCCTGGCCGCCTGGCCTGCCTGGGCAGCTGGCCGTCCTGCAGCTGCGGGTCACACTCCTCCCCCACACTCACCATCACAGCCCCTCTCCACCTGCCCGATGCGGTGCAGGGCGTCCGCGATGAGGTCCGGGAGGCGGCCGTTGAGGTCCACCGAGGCCAGGCAGCCCTGAAAGCCATCCCGGGAGGCCACCAGCTTGGGCAGGCTGCTGAACATGTTCTTGCTCAGACCGCCAATGTACAGCTCCCCTGCAAAGGGAGGGGGTCAGGACCTCGCTTCCCCTCCCGTGTGTGTCAGGTCTCAGATCCTCCTGGCCGTGCAGGGTCCCATCCCAGACGCTCTCCTTACAGAGACCCGGCGCCTCATGCCCCCTCCCCCGCCTCTTCCTTCTTCCTTCTCCACTTTGCCATCTGTCTGCTCCTCTCCCAGAGAAGCCCAGATGCAGGGGGCGGGGGTGGGGAGCAGCTGGAGGAGAATGTTCCCCGCTCTCTCCCACACATCTGATCCAGTTCCGGCCTGTAATCAGGGCCTTTCATGATGTGCAGCCCCAACACCCCCCTGGCTCCCCCTTCCGAAGTCTCCGTTGCCAGAACTCCTGCAGGCCCCTCCCCGGCCTCTCCCTACTCTGCATTCTCTCCTGGGGGGTTCTAAGCCCAGCTTCGTCCCCCCTACCCCCCCATGACTATGGCTTGGCGGGAAGCTCTGGGCCACATTGGGGAGTGCTCTAGGGAGCGCCTGACGCCCACATCGGGTGTCC